CCTGTATTCTAGCGTAAAAAAAGATGAAATATTGTGTACTGCCTTTGGCCATTAGGAATTTTATATCTTAATTATTCTAAATAAAATTACTGGTCTATCATTAGTTTTCTTCTCTTTAAGCAATTCAAGTTATACTTCACAGTAACTTAGTGTACCTTTCATCCTTTTATCTAAACCACAGAAGCTAATACTGAAGTTTTATAATGAACTTTGCTTATACATCTACACTGGTAATGGTCTATATAGTACCTTAGGGATATAGTTACCAAATTGACCATTTTGGCCACTTTTGAAAATGTGGCTTCTAATATCCTTATGAGCCTTAAAAACATACGTACAGTATTTAAAGCTTGTCTATGTATCCCTGTGTGCACAAGAGTGGTTGGGTGTTTTGTACATTTGTTTGTTCTGCCCCCTCACCTTGCCCCATTCCAGGTGAGATGCATATAATGCAGGCTTTGTATATAATCCATCAATGCAATCAGTGGAGCTATCTGTCACCTTTCTCACTCCCCCTACCCTCCTTTACCAAGTGCAGCTGGGGGGGTGGGGGGGGAGAGGGAGAGGGAGAGGGAGAGGGAGAGGGAGAGGGAGGGAGAGGGAGGGAGAGGGAGGGAGAGGGAGGGGAGGGAGAGGGAGAGGGAGAGGGAGGGAGAGGGAGAGGGAGAGGGAGAGGAGAGAGAGAGAGAGAGAGAGAGAGAGAGAGAGAGAGAGAGAGAGAGAGAGAGAGAGAGAGAGAGAGAGAGAGAGAGAGAGAGAGAGAGAGAGAGAGAGTATAGGACACAGCCATGTGGGTGCCCGCCATGTGGGTGCCCACCATGCCAAAGTCTGGCTACGTGGCGGCCATGCCAAGCCACCCAGCGAAGTGTCCCCATGCTGCCCAAGCGTGGCTTGGGGGACGCGACCTACCCTCATCTCCAACCCAACGCTCGGATATTTAAGGCCTGCAGGTGACCCCTGTAGGCAGAGTGTTCTGTGCCGCAGCGAGGTCACGTCTGACCGCGCGGCCAGGTTGCCGTTTGGCAGGGCTCGCCAGTGACCTGGGCGCCCTCGCCTTAACCCAAGCCTTCTCATCATTGTGTTATCAATCCGTGTGCTGAACTCTTATCAATAAAGGGTTTTAAGCCACCAAGCTTTTACTACTCCCTGTCACCAATGTTTAGAGGTCCTTCCTTAACTCTTACATCTGGTGGTAGCGGTGATTGCTGCGTCCTTTTGGCACGTAACCGAACAAGCTTCTCCAAAGAAAAACCGCTCACCTTTCAAACAAACACAAGATGACATCTTCAAACTGTGAGTACACATTTGGGCCCCTTCTCTTTTCATTTCTTTTCTATTTTCTCCTAAATGTGTTAGGGCGTGCACAGCCAGCTCACGTTAGTTTTTTGTTGGGTTAAAGTGCTATTCCGAGATGGCATACTCTCATTCTCATCTTATTTTCTTGACCTCACACCTCATTGCTGTGTGATAAAGTATGAAGCCAAACATTATGAAATCGTTCATTTATTAAGTGTCTATTTAATTTTTTCGTGATTAACCCCTTGCCCCCGGGTGACGGCGATACGCGTGTAAACAAATCGCTCGAAAGGTGGCGTGCGGCCAAACCAGCCGGCGGCGCGCCAAAGCGCGGCGAGCCAGTGATTCGGGCTGACGCCCCGTACTCCAGCGCTCAAAGTCGGCGCGCCGCCTTTGTTTGCCAGAGCGTAGAGTTTTATTTTCCTTTTGTACACCCGGCGTCATTGGGTTAAATTATATTGTTTCAATTGTATCGACTTTAGCGCGTTCGTGAATCTATTCTTTCACGAATATTCATTCATTAAATTCTTCTTTCTCCATTTTCTGTCTTGACCTGACCTCACCTGAAAGTCATTAATCAGAGCCCACTCGGGGACAGCTGTCGTGACCTGACCTGACTTTCACTAGGAGTGGTTATCACAGTAAATGGTGGAGAAAAACAGCTTGCCAATTCCCTTTTAATTGTTTGAACTAGTTGTCACAATATAAGGCTAATACATAGCAACCTTTACGTGCTCATTGGTGACAAGTTCTATCGGAGCTAGAACGGAACTTGTAACGCGACACGTATAATTGAATATAACGTCAAGAGATATCTTCATACATAGTGTCAGAGTATCTGAATACTAGAGGTTGCATTTTTATGCGTAATGTACTCGGCGTCTCCGGCAGATGATAGTTCGGCAAACTTTGAGCTAGGGTGACCGCAATTATGTCCATTAATTTAGGACTAGGATTTAAGTCTGATTTAGGATCCACTTAATTAATCACAACCCGCTCATACTTTTACATATCTCCCATCATGTTGGGTAGATCCCATCAGTTTTGTGATTCATGATAAATCCCTGTAGGGCATTTCATGAGCGCCCATCACAGATCCGCAGATGGAGTGGGTAATTTATAAATTTTCCCAGCTCGTTTCAGCTTCATAAAATACGGCAATTTTTGGGGACATCCCCCCGTCAAATGAAGTCTGTATGACCGGTAAGACATACCTACTTCCTCGGATATCTCCGAGATGATTTGCTCGCGAAGAGGCTTGCGAATAATTTTCACGTCACCATTCATTAATGTGTCATTTTGACGCATACCATTAAATGTTAAATTCAATGTGGTACTTGAAATAATTTTGAATTACATCTATAAATAATTAGTCGCATTATTGTTAGAATGAACTTTATTCAGCATGTTGGCAACACTAATGCTATAGGAGGTCACTCTTACTTTCATTGACACCTGTCAATCACTATACTTTTCTTTTGGGTTCAACAAATGGTTCAAGTAATTCCTTGCGGAAAGCCAATTGTCATTTCCTTTGCTTATCATCATTATCTCACAAGACAATGGTAGCTCAAGAGGATCCTTGCGGATCGTTATCACCGTCTCCCTCTCCTATTTTCTTCTTTTAACTTACTTTGACTTTGTGAACATAAAACACAAAATGAAAAAAAAAGAGACAAAAATAAAGAAAATTCAACTTTAAAAACTGCAAATTATGAAACAAAAAATCGGCTTGTAGCATTTAACACCTTCTCTTCTCTGTCGTTTTTCTTTCTCTCACTATCTGGCCCATTATGTGTTATTCTGGTTCCCAATATCTGAAACGGTCACCTTCAGAAGCCGTTAGAAAACGTCATCGGAGATCGCCGCCCGTCAGACGCCCCGAGATCCAGCGAAAACAGGAGATCACCAGTAGGGGTTCGCCGTCATATGATGCTGTGGAAGGGCCTGCCTAAATGCCGCAAACCCAGTCAAACTCCAGGAGCTCATTAGTGCAGGTATCAGCCTGTCGATGATTACGAGGACGTCGGTACGAGTGCGCAGCCAAGAAGGACCTGGACGGAGATCTGCGAGACGTGCATTGGGCGAATAAGCCGCCGAGTTTGACCTGTACACGGACTACGAGGATGTCTGGGCGAGGACCTGTGCAAGACCAGTCGAGGACGTGAGGATGTCGAGGACGAACGGATTCCCAGGGACCAGAGCGAGGATGACGACACAAAACAAGCAGCCACGGAGATGCACCAAGGATACCGCACCCGAGATCGAGGACAAGCAAGTTAGGACCAACCAGGTTGGGTCACCCTTGAGGAAAGTCTAGATCGTCTCGAGGACGAGCCGTGAGTAGGTGGCCGAGCAATATAGGACACAGCCATGTGGGTGTCCACCACGCCAAAGTATGGCTAAGTGGCGGCCACGCCAAGCCGCCCAGCAAAGCGTCCCCACGCTGCCCGAGCGTGGCTTGGGGGACGCGACCTATCCTCGTCTCCAAGCCAATGCTCGGATATTTAAGGCCTGCAGGTGACCCCTGTAGGCAGTGTGTTCTGTGCTGCGGCGAGGTCACATCAGCGAGGTGACCTGGGCGCCCTCGCCTTAACCCAAGCCTTGTCATCATTGTGTTATCAATCCATGTGTTGAACTCTTATCAATAAAGGGTTTTAAGCCACCAAGCTTTTACTACTCCCTGTCACCAATGTTTAGAGGTCCTTCCTTAACTCTTACAGAGAGAGAGAGAGAGAGAGAGAGAAATACTTCTCGGCCCTCTCTGCCACGATTCATGACCGATTCTACACTATTACACATTCTACATTATTTTACCTTACTGACCTTTAAAATGCTTCATGCCAGCAAAGAGTAATCATCCAAGATATATAAGGAATTGTAGGATACTGAATTCAAGATCCCAATGAACAATGACCAACAAAAGCCAGATGTCCCTCTCCCCATTTCCTTAAGTATATTTTCTTGTTTACTGGCTTTGTTTTTGTTTTTTTCTTATTATTATTTTGTTATTGATTAGTGCCAGTAACAGTGATATGGGAGGTTTGATGATAGGGAAATATTGGCATAACAAAACTAGGGACCAAAACTTTTACTGTATTTTTCTCAAACTTTTTTTTTTTTTTTTTTTTTTAAGCTTTCTACTTGTAAAAAAAATGGTTGAAGCGATTTGTTGTAAATTTAAGGAAGTATTGTATACACTTGCCTTTGGAGTAACTAGAGCTACATGGCACTAGGTTTGGGAGCCACAAACATTTTTCAGGGTAACCAGAAATTAATGTTGTCATTTGTATCACAGAAGGTATTATATATTATTTTATCTATAATACATTATTCATATTAGTTACTGCTGCACAAAACAATTTTTATTCTTTTTTATATCATTAGGTATGAATAGGCCTATAACCTAGGTCTATATTTCCATTGAAATATAATTCATGTAACAATTATATTAACCCATTCCCGCCAGGCATGCCATGCCATGCCCACTGTGAGATTACTTGTTAGATTGTTTTCACACATAGATGGCAACACTTGTACTAACTCCCCAATGAGCCAGTTACAAGTACCGCTTGTCTCACCCGTTCACCCTTTTCTTTGATTTACGAAATATTTTACGTTATCTTATTTTGCTGTTACTAATGTTAAAAAACATTATAAAAATTATAATGTTTATGATAAAAATAACACCATCGATATTCATG